GGTATTACTGACTTTGATAGTTATGTGGCATTTTTGTTAAATTGAAATGGGTGTTATAAATAACACAATTACTCTCTAGACGTCCTAAATTTCTTCTTTTTCCACCTTTTCATTGCAGGTAGTGAGGGATTTGCTTCCATTTCTTGTGATAGTGCTCATATTTTGGAGCATGTATACCATCATATTTTCAGTCATCATCCTACGACCAAGTGGCTCTTGCGATACCTATGGCGCCATCTCTCGCCTTCTTCGCATTATGCGATCTGGATTCTTCCAGATGTTTGGCGAATTCAGTCTAGAAGAGCTTCTTCGCTACTACGGTTTATAACATGCTTACATGAACCTCTTCAATGCTCCACTCAATTCACAATTATTAGCCTTTGCATCTCTATTTTAACGCAGCACTGTCGTGCCTCCATGCAGTAGGTTTTGAACGATTCCATATGAAGTCACTAATTTATCGAAAGCTATCTTAACATTCACTTTCTGTGTATTATCTTTGTTCCTAAATATGGCCAGACAACTGTTCAAATCTATTAATCTCCTTAGTCTCTCCCACTTTTACTGTTCCTCCACGTCATTATTGCAGGAAACTCCACCTGTGGAAACATCACAACTCCCGGATGCACCTACCCATATTCTACATTCCTCCTTCCAATACTTCTTTCGCTGTTCACCTTGACGACTCACGTATTACTGATTAACTTGTTAATTGCAATTTTCACGTGAGTACTTCAATCCATCATCTCGTCATATTTTAACTTTTTGACTCTTTTGTGGACCCACTTGTGGAGTACTGTGAGATGCTCGCAAAGCTGGCGGCGTCGAACACCCCATAGCTGTGATGCGCATTCAAGCATGTTCAAAACATCGTCCAAGTCATTTCTGCAATATTGACTTTGACCTAGAGTTGCAATGTTGTTGATTAGTTCGTGACATACTTCCAAAGCTAATTTCAAACCTTTCACTTTGCAACCTTTTTTGCTCGAAAAACCTTTATTACTCAGAAGCTGAGTTTTCCAAACTACCATGATGCATGTGCCAGTGTAAATATTTGTCTTAAAGCAAGCAATTTTGTACCGAGTTACGATATGCCAGAATCTTCTGATGTCAATAACTATGCTTAGTGCTTTGGTTCTTGATAAATCTCTCAAACTGCTGCCGCAACATTCCAGAAAAACATATGACGATATGGAGGCTGAATCTCAACAGCTCTGGACAATGCAGAGATACGTGCTAGTGGGCCGTATCTCCTCACAATCTGTTCTGCCTGCAACCCTCTCCATCTTTTCGTTGATTTACCATTGTTTTCAAGGCACTTTTCGACGTTTAAATCAGAGTCAGGATCACGAGGATTCTTTCGAACACAAGCCCTTCCGTAAG